GCTGTGTCGGGAACCAAGGTCAAGACCAAGTACAGAACAAGAGATTCCGGGGCTCTGATCACTTGGGAAATGACACGGGGCTCAGAGCCGAGCCCGGACGTGGGGACGGAGGCAACGCAGGTACGTCTCGCTGTGTCACGACTACGTGTGCCTCTCCTGCTGCGGGCGATACCTGGCCTTGAACGGCGTTTGCCAGGTGCCAGGACTTCACCTTCTCAGCTGCTGCGTGTCTTCCTGGCCGGTCTTTTTCATCCTTTGAGTATCCGCATCTCTGTCAGAGGAAACGTACTTGGATCTTACGTTTTTGTCTGGGAGTTTGTTTAACTGGTTACACTTCTGTAACCGTGTTTCTATTAGGAAACGTACACGTGTGTCTACTTTTCTTCCCGTGTCCGTTTCCTGTGCTCTTTGCTTGTTTGCAGCCTGTCCCCAGACGGTCCCTGCTCTACGGATGTCGGTTACCTTCCTCATCGTGTTCTCATGGTGGCTGGTCTCCACGGAAGGCCAGGACTCACGTGTACTCACGCCTGCGGATTTACTCACGTCGTGGGGGTCAGTGCCTCATGCCCCGCGGGACGCCCTTGTTCAGGGCCGGGGCTCTGGGTCACGTGTTTTCTGTCTTCCCCACGACATCTGTTGCAGATGTTTCACACAACAGGACACAGGACTAAGGGATTAGACGATCACACTCACCCAGCCCACGGCCGCCCCGTGGCTCCCTCCACTCCCCAGCCGTGGCCCTCAGTGGCTTCCGTGTTTATATTTTGGCTACATGTGAATTTATAAATTCGTGATCTGCTTTTGCCTTTTCTGCTTAAAATTAGACCCCCTTTCCTTGTCGTGTGCAGCATGGCAGTTAGGAAGTCTGACTGGCCGGATGGGTCGGGGACCGGCCCCTCTCCTCTGGAGGGACGTGGGACCTTTGCCGTCTGTCTCTCCTGTCCGGGTGTCCGGAGCGGGGGGCGGGGGGGCTCGCCTGGTCCACGCTCAGTCCCACTTGCCGCTGCCCTTCAGTCTGAGACACGTCCTTAGTTCTTCAAGGACCCCTCGTGGTGCACCCGCCTCCCACCATCACCCCCGCTCTCCACCCGCACCCCCTCACTCGTGGCTCCTGTGGGCGGGTGCGTCGGCCCCAGCCCCACCGCGTCTGTCCCCCGCACAACCCCTGGGCTCGGTTCTCTTCTAACCGTTCAACAAGCTACTGTTACTATCTGCTCACTCACAGCCCAGCTACCACATTACTTAAAAATCCTGGCCCACGTGCTCCGACGACTTTCCGTCCGATGACACGTAGTGATCAGTGTGTCGCTCTCATGCCGTCCTCGAGGGCCTGGCTGCCCGGCCTGCACACTCACACTCCCCGGGCCCGGGAACGTGAACGGATGGAGCAAAGGCCAGGCCTGGTGGGCGTCTTTCCACAGAGTTTGGGAGGGAGGAGGGGCCCGGACGCAGACAGCAGGGAGCAGCAGTACCTGACCGTTCGCTCTAAGTGCACTTTGATCCCCTGGGTATTAGCGGGGACAGAGCAGGGAAGGGGGCGCCCTGGGCCACTCGCCAGCCGGGCCTGCGCGTCATCGCCCCACAGGCCGGCCATCTGGGCCGCGGGCCCGGCTTCCTGAGCCCAGGGAGGCCCTGGGAGGCCCGGGGCCGGCAGGGAGGAGGGCAGGCGCCGAGTCTCGGGCATTTTCCTCCGCGTGCCCTGGTCAGCGCCGGCCGGGCCCCCCCCCGAGCCCGTCCACCTCCTCACGGTCGTGTGTGCACAATGTGTCCCTGTCCCCAGACGCCCGCGTCCCGCCTGCTTCCGGAGAATTCCGTGGGCTGCGTCAGGGGGACGGCTGCCTCGTCAGGTCACCACCCTGAGGGGACACAGGATGTGTGCGCTTGCTGCTGCACACGTGCACCCACACACAGTACACACACGCACACTCTACACACATGCTCACACGCGCTACACACACGCACACACCATACACACGTGCTCAGACACTACACACACTGCATACACACATGCACACACTCACAGTACACACAACCACTCTACACATGTGCTCACACGCGCTACACACACGCACACACCATGCACACGTGCTCACAGACACTACACGCACTGCATACACACACGCACACATCATACACACGTGCTCACAGACACTACACACACACGCACACACCATACACACATGCTCACACACACTACACACTGCATACACACATGCACACACACACAGTACACACACTACACACGTGCTCACAGACACTACACACACTACACACACACACCATACACACGTGCTCACACAGACACTACACGCACTGCATACACACATGCACACACTCACAGTACACACAACCACACTTTACACATGTGCTCACACGCGCTATGCACACACCATGCACACGTGCTCACACAGACACTACACGCACTGCATACACACATGCACACATCATACACACGTGCTCACAGACACTACACACACACACGCACACACCATACACACATGCTCACACACACTACACACTGCATACACACATGCACACACACACAGTACACACACTACACACGTGCTCACACTACACACACTACACACACACACCATACACAAGTGCTCACACGCGCTACACACACGCACACACCATGCACACGTGCTCACACAGACTACACGCACTGCATACACACACGCTCACACTCACAGTACACACAAGCACACTACACATGTGCTCGCACGTGCTATACACACACACCATGCACACGTGCTCACACACACTACACACTGCATACACACATGCACACACACACAGTACACACACTACACACGTGCTCACAGACACTACACACACTACACACACACACCATACACACGTGCCCAGACACTACACGCACTGCATACACACATGCACACACTCACAGGACACACAACCACACTTTACACATGTGCTCACACGCGCTACGCACACACCATGCACACGTGCTCACAGACACTACACGCACTGCATACACACACGCTCACACAGTACACACAAGCACACTCTACACATGTGCTCACACGTGCTATACACACACTCACACCATGCACACGTGCTCAGACACTACACGCACTGCATACACATACGCACACACCATACACACGTGCTCACAGACACTACACACACACACACTACACACTGCATACACACATGCACACACACACAGTACACTCTACACACATGCTCAGACACTACACACACTACACAGACACACGCACACACCATACACACGTGCTCACACAGACACTACATGCACTGCATACACACATGCACACACTCACAGTACACACAAGCACACTCTACACATGTGCTCACACGTGCTATACACACACTCACACCATGCACACGTGCTCACACAGACACTACACACACTACATACACACATGCACACACACAGTACACAAGCACACTCTACACGTGTTCACACGCACTACAGGCACTGCATATGCACACACCATTCACACGTGCTCACATAGACACTACAGGCACTGCATACACACACGCTCACACACACTAAGCACACACACCTCCACCGCACACCACCCGGCACAGACACCCACGGCCCCCCTCTGGCTGTAAAGGCTCCTTCAGGGCAAAGAAATGAAGGCGCAGGACTCCCCAGTGCTTGGGCTTCGTTTTTATTAACCTACGTGCTGCCTCCAGGGGACCCACGGCCGATGAGGGCTCCCGGCCACCAGCTTCCTCCCGGTGCCGCACGGTGCCCCTGCTCGCCTGGGGTGGGGCTTTCTGCGCGGCCGCCCCAGGCCCGTCTTCTCCAGGCACAGGGCCCACGGGACGCAGCCGCCAGAGGGCCCCTCCCTCCGCACAGAAGCCGGATGACCCTGGCACCCGGAGCCGCCCTCGGGAGGCTGGGCACTCGGGCTTCCCCCTCGGGCCAGAGCCGGTCCCCTCCTGCGGGCCCCGCAAGCGGCCTGTCCCTGCCTGACCACGTGCTTTTCTCCGTGTTACCCACGCGATGTGGTCAGATGCGTCTCCGGCACCGGCCGCTGGCCACCGGGGACCAGGCGTGTGCACCTCCCCGGGCGGCGCTGCCTCCGGCCCAGCAGGAGCCCTGACCCAGGATGGCAGCTCGGTGCCAGGCACGGCGCGGGGACTAGGAGAGCGCCCCCCGGGGGACGGGCCGCCTCTCGGTGAAGAAGCTCTTCAGCAGCAGCACCTGGCTGAAACTGACCACCAACAGGGCGACGGCCTCGCCCACAGACCAGTAGGAGACGCGGCTGTTGAGCTCCTCTGCCCGCGCCCGGTCCTGGGCCTCGCGGAGCCGGTAATGCGTCTGCGAGTCAATCACCGTCTTCAGGGCCTCGTGGATGGTCACGCAGGCGGACTCCATCTGGGCGGAGGGGACAAGCCGTCACGTTCCAACCCACGAGGAGCGTCCGGCCGCACAGGCCCGTGCCCCTCCCCCCCCCGCCCGTCTCCTGAGTCGGCGGCACGGGGCTGTGGCTGACCTGCCGCTAGAGGCGCTGGGGGAGCCGCCCAGAGCCGCGGATCAGGAGGTGAGAGTCAGGACCGAGCCCACGTGTCAGAGTCCTGAGCCTTTGCCTCCCAGCGCAGCCCTGTGGTCTCACCTGACACCGGGACAGCGGCAGGTGGCCGTCACAACCCCCACTACTCACCCCAGACACAGGTGAGAAAACTGAGGCTCAAAGAGGCCGTGTGACTTGCCCGAGGTCAGAGAGGTGAATCACAATTGTGTGGGCCTGTGTTGTGTACACGCGCACGCATGCACACGCGCACGCGCACACACACACAGGAAGGCACGCTCCTCTCCTGTACGCAGACACACGCAACAGCACATATAAGCATGCACGCTTACACACGCATGCTCACGTGTGCGAGGCAGAGCCCCGAACCTCCCCCCACGGCCTGCCCAACCCCCACAGGATGAGCTGTGACTATGCCACACGGCACGGCCACCACCCGGGGCCTGAGCCGACCACAGCAGCCCTCGCAAGGGAGAGGCGCTCGGGCCGCTGGCCGGGAGGATGCAGAGGCGCGTGCGGGGACCAGAGGAGGCCCCCGGGGGCCAGGGCACGACAGCAACAAGGACCCGAATCTGCCAACAGTCTGACGTCTGCATGCGGACGCTGGTCCCTGGCCTCACCTCAACCGCGCCTGGGGACCCGCACAGGGACAGGCTGCGCGTGGCCTGCATCTCTCAGTCACACCGCAAAGGGAACACGAGAGCCGCGGTTGGCTGTGAGGTTCACTCGCCGGTGGCCTGTGACACGCATTTACCCAAAACCTAGAAGGTTCCATCCCAACAAGGAGTTCCCAGAGACACCTGCTTCGGTCCCCAAAGCGCAGTGAACTGTCCCCACCATGAGTGCAGGGAGGGAGGGGAGACCACGTCACTGAGCCACCACCTGACTGACCCCCAACACCCTCCCTTCTGTCACCAACGGAACAGGGTCCAGGAGGCAAATGGGAGGCTGTGGCCAAAAAGCTCTGTCGCCCTTACCTGCCTCGTGGGGGGCTCACTCCGGGCCACGGCAGGCGCTACACCGGGCCACGTGAGGGGGGTGGATTTCCCTTCAGCTCTGGCGTTTACACGGCCGTGTCCCGTGTCCACTCGACGACTGGTCTACGCCCCAAGGCCACGGTTTCCTGCGGACATGCAGGCTGCTGCTGTCACCAGGGCCCACGGGTAAGAGCGGGAAAGTGCCACACAGACCGGATGCGACGAGGTCACCACCACCAGATGGAGTCAGTGGAGCCTCACAGGGCAGGCGTTCAAAGGGCAGAATCCGGGGAAACGAACAGACCTGTCTGGGCTTCGCTGTGCCCCGAGGGGCACCTTTTCCCGCTTTCTCGGGGACACCTGCACACCCTGTCCTCTCGGGTCAGCGCCCGGCGGCATCACCTGCCCCACACGTGGCAGGCGGCTCGTACCTACGGGTGTTGAGCGTTGAAAAACGGCCACCTGATCCTAGAAGGGTTCCTGACATCACGAAGTTGCTCGAGGGGACTTTCAAGGGTCAAGCGGCTTCAGCTGCCGGCCGCCGGCAGGACGCTCGGGCGCAGACCTCTGTGGGCGCCGCCACCGCCCGCCCCGGAGCTCACGTCACAGACAGAGCAGGACAAACCGGAAGGGGTAGGAAGGAGGCCAAGGCGACTCTGCGAGCCTGGGTCCAAATCACGACGGGGGCCCTGAGGGGGCCCAGCAACGAGCAGGCCGTCCTGGAAGTCAGCGGGGGTGGGGGGGACACACGCACGCGCGTCATGCGCACACGTGTGCACATTCAGTACACATGCGTACACACAGACTGGTTTTGAACGTGAGGAAAGGGCGCACGTGGGCTTCCGGGCTAGAGTTCCACCCTGCACGTTTACTCCCGTCCACACTCCTTCAGAGACTCGACGTGCACGCCGGCCCACGCCGACTCGCTCGGCGCGGGCGCTCCGGGACCCTGCGCCCTGGCCGGGGGCTCGGCAGTGCGGGCCGGCAGGTGCGGCCTCCTCCCAGGGCCCAGAAGCACCGGAAAGGAGGCAGGGACCAGGGAAGGGAGAGGAAGAGAAACAGAGAGGGAGGGCCCCGAAGTCACAGGCGCAGAGGCCCGAGGCAGGGCGCACGTCGGTCCGCCCTGTGAGGCGACACGTGGGGGGCGTGACAGGCTGGAGACCGGCAGCGACGGGGGAGGAGGCCAGGTCCCGGAGGACAGAGGGGCCCCGGGCGGGGACACAGCTCTCCCAGCCTCGGGCCCGCGGGAGACCTGGGGACAGCTCAGCACGTGCTGCACACACACCCGGACGCACCCCCTCCCAGCAAAGAACGCGGCGCCCCCATCACCGGGACCCCACCCGTGCCGGGGCACAAGCCCTTTCCCGCCAGATTTCCGTTGGGGAACGGTCCAGCCTGCGTCCTACCCTGCAGGGGCCGCGGACTCCCCGCCGCCGCGAACCCTGATTCCCCAGGGCCCCAGGCGCCCTGCCTGTACCCTGGCTGGAATCTGGGAGCCTCCCAGAGATCCCGGTCACTGCTGCCACGTGACAGTCCCTCCCTGGCCACACCCGGGACCGTCCCCTTCCTCTGCTGCCACATCAGCGTCTCATCCTGTGTCTCCCGCCTGGCAATGCTGTGGCGATGGTACGGGGCCCTCGCTGGGAGCCCACCGCCCAAGCGGACTGTATCTGCCAGCCCTCCCCCGTCCCTGCATCCAGGGGGTCATGGGGGGGGTGTGGCCACAGGACACTGGCCAACAACGGGGCGAGTGGAGTGCAGCGTGTTACTCCCGGGCCGGAGTCCGAAGCAGCGGGGGCGGGGGCCTCCTCACTCTCTCCGTCTGCTCAGAGCCACAGAGGGCTGCAGCAGGGAGCCCACCCGAAAGGAAAACCCCGATTCCTGCGTCAGTCGTCGGAGGAAAGCTCTCCACCAACCAAGGGCATAGCCTGAGTGAGAAAAAGTCTCCTACAGCGTTCAGCCACCGACCTTTGGGGCTGACGACGCTGCAGAGCGGCGAAGGCTGAGAGGCCGATGGGAACACGAGAATTCCAGATGACGCGGTGACACAACGCAGAGGGACAGCAGAAGGGGGGCGGCGTCCTTTAGGACTGCACGCGGGAAGAGGCGAAGCTGACACTGAGCCGGGCGGACTGGGGGTGGGGGTCCCCTCCCGCGGCCGCCGCCGCCCACTCACCTGGGTGAGGGCCGTGACCCGTTTCCCCATGTCTGGGAGGATGGGGGGCTCGTCGCCCACTTGGAAGTCAAAGTAGACAGTCTTGTGGGAGAAGGTGGAGAACTCGTTGCTGAAGCAAAACTGATAAACGCCCTTGACCTCAGCCCGGTGCGTGAAGCTGTCGTACTGCTTCTTGGTTTCCCTGTAGATGGTCTTTCCCAGGGGGTCCTTCACGTAGCAGTCCACGTCATAGTGACCTCCGGTGATGACCTGACAACAGAAGACACCCGCCGTCTGCTTTACCAGGGGGCATCCAGCCTTCTGGGGCAGGCGCTGGGCCCTCTCCACCGTCCTGGGGACGACACAGAGGCTGGGACAGGTTACGTAAGTCAGCCATGGCCACACCGCCGGAAAGGGACCGGGCTAAGATCTGAATCCCCGTCTCCCTGACTCCTCAAGGTCTTGCTCTGCAAGGGTGCAAGGAGCTTAATCCTCCCCCTTTTACAGAAGAGGAAACTGAGGCTCTGAGGTCAAGTAAATTGCCAAACGGGTCTAGTAGATGCTAGTATTATTACTGATCGAACGCAAGACGGCAGATACAGATCGGAGTGTTCACGGACTGGGTGACCAGCGGCCGTGGGAGGGTCCTTGGATAGCGCAAGCTCTTTATAAACCTAAGTGAGAGCACGGGCGCCAGGCACAACCGCACGGGTGGCCAATGGCTACAACCAACGTCCATCAAGGGACAGTCAGCGGCCTCCATCTGCTTCCCAACGTCACAAGTTCTTCCGTGTGCGGATGGGGATTTGCTTCATCCGGCGGCAGCGCGGCTGCTGGAGGCGCTGCGGTCAGGCCGGCGTCCTGACGGGGCTCTCCTGCCCCTGCGGGGACCAGACCACCTCACAGGCCCCTCCGGCCTCGCAATGACCATTCCTTAGTGACTGGACCTAGGGGGCCCTGTTAACCCAGCCACAGCTCGCATGTTGTCCACACGTAGGTCACAGTGGCCAAATCGGCGACGCGGGGCCATCGCACACCATGCTGCCCCCGGGCGCGAGCCCCCTCCTGCCCTGGCCGGGAGCGCCGTCGGAGGGGCCCGCCTGCCTCACCCCTGCGCATGCCTCGCCCCGGAATGCCAGGCAGCAGGTGCCCGCCAGCAGGGGCCGTCCGGGGAGGATTCCCACGCGGGACCCCAGCCCCAGATCTGCCCCCTAAGCCCGAGGCCGGCCGCCTGCGGGCGCCAGGCGGTCTGCGGCGGAGGCGGGAGCGCAGGGCGGGCAGCCCACGGCCGCCTGCGGGCAAACACCGCGCCTCCGCCCGCAAACGCCGAGAAGCGGGGAGCACAGGCACGCCCCCCGCACCGGGTGCTCGGGGACGCGCGGGACGAGGCGGGCGGCCCGAGGGCGGGGCCCCCGCGGCCTCACCTGGTAGTCCAGGGAGAACTTGGCGCCCCGCGGCACGTCCTCGTGGAAGCACTGCCGGGCGCTGTCGGGCAGCTCGAACGTGAGCTCGGCGCCCCGCGGCCGCTCGGCCCGGAGCAGCAGCAGCAGCAGCAGCAGCAGCGGCGGCGGCGGCGCGGAGCCGGGGCGCGCGCCCGCGGGGCCCATGGCGCTCGGGGCCGGTCCCGGCCGGGGCTGCGGCTGCGGGGCGCGGGGCGCCGACGTGGCGCCGGGCGGCGCTTCCGGGAAGGCGCCCCGCCCCTTCCCCGCCGCGCGTGCGCGCTGGCTCCGCCGGGCAGGCCACGCCCCCTCCCCCTGGGGCGCCCGCTCGGCCGGGGGTCTCTGCGAGGCGCGACAGGTGGGCGCCTTGCGGAGGGGCTGGCACCCCGGGGCCCCTGAGGTGTGTCGGCCATCAGGACTCGGTGAAGGCTCTCCTGGCCCAAAACGCCCTTTCTTTCCCCTTGACGTCTCAAAACCATGACAGCAGGGAGACTGCCTGCCTTACCCAGCACCGCGGCCGAAGAAGGTACTTCGTGTGATCACTACTGCAGGGTTTTATATGCTGCCATCAGATAAAACAGAAGGGACACCGCCTGTGGTCTGGCTGCTCAGAAAAGAATTTTTTCAGCACAACGTTATCAGATGTGTAGCTTGATTTCCGCAAAGCATTGTACTGCCCATACAGACCCCAGGCACACGTGGGCGCCGGGAAGTGTACAGGCCTGGGCACATTGGCCACGAATTAACGTTTGAAGCTATGTGAAAGCAATCAGAATGCACAATATCGTTAATATTTGATGACTCTGTACCAGATCCAGAGAAGGTGGATGTTGTGGTGTGCCTCGAGGGGCTTTCCCTGGCTCTGTCCTGTTGATTATTTTTTAGTTACTGATTTAAAATATATATATACATGAAAAACATGTAAGAAATAATCATTTCTTCTAGATGCACCGAGGAAAGATACAAATGACAGATGTAAGATAAAGATGACCTTGGCCAGCTGCTAAGATGAACAAAAAGAACTTTGCCATTAAATGTTAAGTCCTGTGTTTAAGTTCCAAGAAAACACCTGCATGCGCTCAGAGGCAGGAAGACTGACAAGGCCGTGGCTCAAGCCAGACATTCAAAGACTGAGCACCAACACCAGTTAGCAGAGTGTAAGACAGTGGACGTGGATGAACTGGGCAAGGAGCCCTGATTCGCCCAAGGGGTTAATAAAGGAACAGAGCTGTTATGGCACCTACTAGGTGGAAGGCAGTAACGTGCACTGTCTCAGGCGTTGATCAGAGCACATCTGTGGTACTGCCTTGGGAGGGACATCAATAAACAGGGGAATAGTCACAGGGTGATAATTAAGAGGGGACCAGTCTCGTAAGCTGCCAGGAAGGCTTCTCAAACAAGGTGAAGTCAAAGGAAACAGGATTTCACCTCAAAGAAGAAAATCTAAGGATGAAGAAAGTGTTAACTTTAAAAAGTTTACATAACAGCCATCTTAACGGCTGCCTTTCAGCACCTACAAAGTTGCAACCATGCAAAAAAAAAATAAAAAGAGAGAGAGAGTTATTTTTTACCCCTTTGACAAAGAAGAAATAGAAAAGCTCAAGAGGTTTAATTAAATAGGCTTTGTTTCTGTCAGCCTTTGCTGTGTAACAAACGAGTCAGTGACTTAAACCAACAAAAGACATACAATTCCCCGTGATTTCGTGGCAGGCCAGGTGGTGCTTCGGCTGTTCAGGCTTATTCACGCAGCAGCCTTCAGCAGAGGGGCGCTCCGGGCTGGAGGCCCAAGATGGTCCCACTTACGAGTTCGCCGGCTGATGTAGGCTGTTGGCTAGAGCAGCTCAGTTTTGCGCGCATCGTCTCCCTGCTTGTGGTTTATGTGATTTCTTTCGACGGCAGCCCAGGGCAGCATCCTGAGGGGGCCGCGACAGAAACAGCAAGGCACCCAAGAGCTATGCTCCAATATCACTTTTGCCACCTTCCGTTCGACAGAGCAAGTCCCAAGGCCAGCCCGGGTTCAAGGTGAAGAAATAGACTCCATCTCTGGATGGAAGGAGCCCTAAGTCACATTCAGAGGAGAAGGATGCTGGATGGTGGGAATTTGTGCCTATTATACAAGCTGCCATAGTCCCCAAACTCAGCTCATTCATAGCTAAGCCTGGGGCGCCTGGGGGCTCAGTTGGTTACGTGTCCAACTCTTGGTTTGGGCTCTGGCCATGATCTCTCGGTTCGTGGGTCTGAGCCCCGCATTGGACAGCACAGAGCCTACGTGGGATTCTCTCTCTCCCACTTTCTCTTTCTGCCCTTCCATCACATGCTGGCACTGTCTCTGTCTCTGTCTCTGTCTCTGTCTCTGTCTCTCTCAGAAAGAGAGAGAAAGAGAGAGAGAGAGAGAGAGTACTAAACCAGCAACTGAACCTGGATTTGCCTGATTCTGAAGGCAACATGCTTCCCACCAGCCGCACTGTGTCCGTCTGTACCTGGGGGACATCTGTCCATAACTCATTCCATCTGCCATAACTTGGAATAAAGCGTGAATCTGACAACGAGGTACATTTCAACTCAATATAAGAAAAGACTTTCTGGCAACTAGTGTTCTTCAAAAATTAGTGAACAGGGGTATTGATTTTTTTTCATCCTTAAAATATTCAAGCAGGGGCACCTGGGTGGTTCAGTCAGTGAGGCCTCGACTCTTACATCTGACTCCTGGTTTTAGCTTAAGTCATGACCTCGCAGTTCATAGGATCGAGCCCTGAGTCAGGCTCCAGGCTGACAATGCAGAGCTTGCTTGGGATATTCTCTCTCTCTCTCTCTCTCTCTGTCTCTCTCTCAATCTCTCCCTTTCAAAATCAATAAACTTTGAAGAAAAAATCATCAAGCAGAAACTGGATTAAACAAGCAATTCACATGTTGTCCCCGGTACATGAAAACACAACTCTAACTAGACTGAATGATACCAGAGTGTCTTAGTTCATGTAACAGAGAGTTGGCACAGACTGCAGGCGTGGCGTGATCAAGGCTCCAGCCTGTCTCCCCGCTGCTCTGCCCTCCTCTGCGTGTTGGCTGTATCCTTAGACTCCATTCCCTCATTGTCAAAAGAGGGCTGTCAAACCAACCAAACAAATAAGCTTCAGGACAACACGTTCATCTGGTCACATCTAGTGGAAGGTAGAGAAAGTATGCCAGCCACGACTGTATGTCCTTTCTTCTGCCCAGTTGCTCCGGTGAGGCCATGATCCCGTCTCTGGATCTAAGGCCCTGAGAAGGGGAAGCCCTGGGGGTTGGCTTAGGCCGGATCCTTCAGCCAATCACTGATGAGGAGAATGCACCTGTCATGATTAACTCCGACCAATCAGGACTTCCCTTGGAGGGGGCTGGGGAGGCAGCAATGTCACTTGAGTCAGAAGAGGGGCCGGGATATGCGGGGGCCACGCGGGGGCCACGTGAACAGCACCAGGCCCTGACAGAAAGGAGGGGAAAGGAGGAATCAAACCAGATGGGCAAGCGGCAGTCAGTGCCTCGGGGGGGCAGGGGAAGGGCTGAATTCTCCTGGGTTCTAACCGGGTAATTACAGGCCTGATGCAGACGCTTACCTCCCTCCCTGTGAGAGGTTCTCTCCGCGCTAGATCAGGCGTGTCTGTGATCCCGGCTCCGTCATCCCGAGCAGGCGGAGGGTCCAGAAAGGAGGTCGGGGCGGGGGCTGTTCCGTGGGCTGGTTCACACCCGCGGGGCCTTCTGCCCCCCGTGCTCCCCTCCCTGGTCCTGACACATCCCGGCCCCCGCTCCCCAGGGAGCCGCACCACATCTTTACTCTGCGGTTCCAAACCCCTGCCCACAATCGGCCCCCGGGAATTGGATCACAGAACCGCCTTCCGCTGAGGACTCCTGGTGACAAGTGTCCGACACTGTTCCCTGTGTTGACCTGCTCTGGCATCATTACAGCTGTAAAGCATCACCCCTTCCTTTCCTCGAGCTCTGTTGCTCATCCCTGACGGCCTCCCGGGGCAAGTGCCTGCAACGCTGCTTCTGTCCTTTGCACAGTGCACGCCGTGGGCTCTAGAACCTTTAGGGTGAGAAACGTCATACTCCTTTACTCTTCTAAATCTAATTACAGTGATTTGCCCCCCCCCCAACATAACAAAGACGGTAAGACTGCCCATGTCCTCGCGGGGGGCTGCCCCCCACCCCCGTCCCGGGCGGGTCTTCAGCAGGCTCCGGGCTCTGTCATCCGCAGGCTCACCCAGCACACTGATGCGTGCACTGTCCGAGTGGCAGGGTTGCTGCCAGGCCAGGGGCTCAGATGCCCTCCTGCCCACCCCACCCCCGCGCCCACCAGGGCCAGGGGCTCAGATGCCCTCCTGCCCACCCCACCTCTGCGCCCACCCGGGCCAGGGGCTCAGATGCCCTCCTGCCCACCCCCCCACCTGGCGCCCAGACTCTCCGGACGCACCGGGGACCACTCCTCTCTACTGTTTTGCTCTGGAAGGGGGCAAGTTCCACTCAAGGGACCCTAAACTTCTAAGCTTTTTATCAGTCTTGGGAATGCCCCCCACTCCAGGTGGGCCACCGTGGCCTTGCCCCCCCATCGCTCCTCCCCCTCCCCCCGCAGGGTCCCTCGTAATCTCTCCTAAAGGATTTGGAAACTTGTGGGCCTGCCTTTCCTGAAGACAGAAGTGGGGAAGGGACTCCTGAAACCAGCCCTTTTGGTAGTTTTGTTGACGTAATTTCTTTCACCCGTCTAGGGGAGGCCCCAGAGGTAAGGTTGGAACCACCCAGAGTCAGGGAGCATGGATGAAATTCGAAACACAGAACTCTGGACCTTAAGAGACGAGGCTTGTCCACTGGGTTCCTAGGTCTGCCCTGGAGCGGGACCGGTGTTAACCTCACAGACATTACAGACAGGGCCCGAGGGGGCCATCCAGCGACTGCTGGCTCCCGCACAGCCCCAGGGGCCCCAAGCAGGGAGGCCAGAGGGAGGAAGTCCACCCGCCCCCGGGGAAATGCATCTTCTCATCCTTTGCCCCTTTTCTAACCGAGAGAGAAACCCCAATACTTGTGTAAACAAAAATTAATTTTCAAAATTACGAGTGTGTGAAAGTTTGGGTATCTGCTAAGGAAGATGTTACCAGGCAGTCACGTCCACGCCATCATAAGGAAAAGGTGATATTTGTCATTGAGATTTCACCACAAAAAATTGGGACTGCTATTGCAGGATCGCAGTATATCTTTTATTGACATGTTAGAAAAGCCTAACAGTTCCATTATGTGGATTTTGATACATCTTTGAGCACGATGTCAGCTTGAGGCTAGAAGTGTAACACCATAGAGTCAGTCCAAGCAACACGCGATAGGTCCTAAGCACCAACACAGAGGCGGAAGGTCAGACACAGCCTGCATTCTGCAGGCTACTGTTGACTCGATGACATTCTAAGAGAATTGACAATGGATTCAATCAAACAAACAAACACCAGCTTTCCAGTGTCTAGAAATTAAACCCAAGTTCCAGACTTTAAACTTTAGACGTGTGTTCTGTATTTTGATAAACATTCCAGACAGTCTGAAGTGGACGGGCTGTTAAAACTGCAGGTGTCAGCTAAATTCTGTAGTGATGGCAGGATCCCGAAAAGAAAAGCTAATCTCTGACCTAGGAAGCATATTTGAATCTAAAATATGCTTTTAAGAAGCATCCATGTGAGGTTTGTTAACATGGACAAACTGCCTACTTATGCATGAACCAAGATAAAGTGGTATGGTGGGCGTAGTAGTTTGGATAAAGTGTTGTGGTGGGCATACTAGTTTGGAATGCTCTAATTCAGTTAATGCATCGTCAAACAGGGATGTGACAGGGATGATCTGGTGACCGTCTAGAGAAAGGCCAAGGGGAGGTCACAAATGACTGATGCAGGCGGTGAGTGCCGTGAGAGTGTCTGCCATAGGCATTCGTAGAGTGGCCAGGCTATTCTGGGTGAGTAGCTATCGTGTTTTGTGTTTCACTGAAGCTAATCGCTACGGCTGTGCTGTGTTCACTATCAGGGTGAATTAGGCTTCCAGATCTTCACTAAAGGTTTAGACAAATGCTCGTGTGCAGTGCTGCACACCCCCACCTCCAGTTTGATGCTATGAGCAGAGTGTTCGCCAGCACTAACGACACTCGGAGAGTGCCGGCCACATGTCCGTGTGTGCACGTGTATGTGTATGTGTGACATGTGCTGCTGAGAGCAGTGGCCGTCTGTACGCTTCTCTCTGTAACGATCTGGAGAGTTGTGTCTCCGCCGGTCACCATGCCCCTTTGGTAAGAACGGTTCAAGATTAAAGGGACCCAGAAAGCACATGGATGGTCCACACGAAACCAAGTCCGTGAGCCCTAGGTTGTCACAAGTTTATGTGCTTTGCCTCCCTCCCTGCAAAGAACAGAAGGCCACTGGCACTGCCGTTTGTGTTTGCCGGCATCCTGGGAGCCCGAGCTCCAGCCTCCTGGGGAAGCACGGTTCCAGGGTCCCTCGGCTGCCGCTCAGGGGAGGGTCCTGCAGTCAGCTCTGCGGTTGGACTCGTCCCTGCGCGAGCCCCTCCTCCCAGAGCAGCGCAGAGCGCCCCCCAGGTGTCTGACCAAGTCGGGAGACCGTTTTGGTTGTCAGGACTGGCGGGCAGAGGCTGCGGGCCTCGAGTGGGCGGCCCAGGGCAGCCCCCACGACACAGGACTGTCCCCCCTGAAGTGCCAGCAGTGCCCAGGCCGGGTACAGGGCCCCCGAAGGAAGTATTAAAAATATACATCTAGCTTATTCGCAAGCAGCAGTAATCATTGGCACTTTTGTTCGGGACATTCTGATAAATGTCTGGCATGTGTAGCACAGAAACGCTGTAACACGAAGGACCGATGTGGCAGAATTTATTTTACTTTCCGAGTGTACTTAGGGCTCAGTATTATGGAATCAGGAGGATCTCAAGGAGACACTTGAATTTTTCAGCTGGGCTTTTACTCCGTTCTGTGTAGGGTATGATGTTGTCTTTGTAGATCATGAAGCCGCAGGGGTCTGAAGATGTACCTGGGAATCGGCTACGTCCATCTGGCTGCCCGTCCTCACGCCGGTGCGGGCAGGCACGTTCCGCTGCCGCCCCCCACGCCCTTCACGGTGAAGCACGGCCAGCCCCGTTTTACAGATGAGGGAGTGGAGGCTTAGAAAAGCGAAGGTCCCCAAGCTGGTAAATGATGGAACGGAGATGCCAACCCAGATCTCAGAGCCGCTGCTCCTTCCTGCATGGGGGGCGACCCCCAGGGACCACACTTCCAACCACAGAGCAAACAAACCTGAGCAGCAGGAGGGGAAAGCAAACGGGAAAATGACCAGGCACATCATCTGAAACGTGGCCACGTCACACCGAGCGTGCGAAGTCTCTGCTTCCCTTTCCAGGTTCCTGTGCCGCGGCTGCAAAGCGTCGTCCAGGTGATCTCTACCAACCTCCCACCGCGTAGATGATTCGGATGATTCTCAGAAACTGGATTTCTCCAGTTACCTGGAGAGCAGGTGAGGTGCCAGTCTGCGCCCGGAATGTTCTTGGGCTACAATCCAGTCCCCACCGCTTCCGGCCCAGGGACCACTCGCTTGTGCTTCTCCGGCGCGCGGCCCAGCACTGGTATCTGCTGGCTCCGGGGCATCTCGCCCAGGCTCCTGAAGGACAGGCGAGAATCTATTCTGGAAATTATATCACCTTCAGCTCCAAATTAATTAACAGAAAAACAGGCTTTTTTTTTCTTTCACAAGATTTCGACACAGCTCGTGTCAGGGTAGGAGCCTGAGGCTGGTTTTGTCTTGGCGACGATGGCACATCAGAATTTGGGGGACAGGTGGTTATATTTGGGGACTCAGAGCACATCCAAATGAGCATGTGAACATCCTGTGAAAGACCGTGACCATGCCCAGCAGGACACCACCCCACGACCCAGTGAGAGGCATCCTGCAGCCAGAGCATCTCCAATGGGGGGGCTGCGCTCCCCTCCCTTCTCAGCCTTCTGATGGGGGGGCTCTGCTCCCCCGTCTCCACCTTCTGATGGGGGGCTCCGCTCCCCTCCCTTTTCCGCCTTCTGATGGGGTGCTCTGCCCCGCCCCCCACCTGGGCTGGAGCACAGCTGCCACACCTCACAGCTCAGGGGCTGGTGTCTTGCACATTGTGACACATGCTTGGCCCTCAGTTCCTTTGTAGGCACTTCATAGATTTAGTGCGAAGGCCCTACTTTCCCTACGGTCCTGGGACCTGAGTTCTGGTTTGTCTGGTGGGAAGGGGTCAAGGGCCTAGATCACTGAACAGCTGCGAGACTCTCACACCCCAGAGGTGCTCTTCCTTGGGAGAAATATTTTCTGGGTAACTCATCCCCGGAACCCAGTGATCCTGAGCTCTTTTCAAGCAAACCCAGCGATAATTTCAGAAGGGGAGCAGGGCCCAGCTCCGCGCCCTGTGAGGCGGCTGCCCAGCAGCGCGGAGGGAGGCAGGGACGGGACGCGGTGGGCGCACGCGGTGTTGGTCCAGATGTGGTGCCTTTCGTCAGGTACCCGGAGTTTTGTAAAGACCCCTGGGAAGGCGTCTAGGTCATGATCTCCTCGAAGCCACACAGCTGCTTCATCTGCTCGACTTGCATGGAGTGCCTCCGGAGGAGTTTCTTTGTGCTCCTCAGGTCTCCTCTCTTCGGCGAGCTGGGGGCCACGGGGAGCATGGATTTTAGGCCACTGGCAAGTGGAGAAGAAGGTTTGCCACTGGGCCTGGTGTCTGGGATGGGGGGGTTCAGATTTACATTCAAAGGAGGAAGGAAGCCGGGCCTGGTGTGCGAAATTCGGTCCAGTAGCAGGGTTCCAGAACCTCGCCGTTCCAGAAGGTGCGGTGGCCTGCGGCGTGCCGAGCTGGGGGACACGCCGGGCGCCGCATCCAGGGACTCCCGCGAGCTGTGGAAGAGAGCCACGTGGGAGCCATTGAGCCTCCTTTCCAGGGGCCCTTTGCCGGCCTCCAGGGAGACGGGGCTGAGCTGCTCCGCCCCGGGCTGCAGGTCTAAGTCATGCAGGTCATCTTCTAGGCGCTTGAGGGACACCGATGGACCGACTCCGGCCTTCTCCTGCTCCGCAGGGAGGGTCCCTCTTCTGGCCAGACGGGGGTGAGAAGCCTGACCTTTCTCGTAGGCGGCCTTCCAGGACGTGGGTGCCGGGGACGCAGGGATCCTCAGAATCTGCTCCGTGAATGTGGCGAACAGGGCAGGGTCTTTGCCGTCGATACTGTTGGCTCTGGAGAGCGGCCCCCGTTTGGGGAAGGGCACGTCGCCAATGCTCTTGGTGACCTCGCTGTCGGCGCCGGTGCCGTGGGCGTCGTCCTGACGCGCGTTAGCAGCCAGCACAGACGGCGCGATCAGGCCCCAGGGCTCCGACTGCAGCCTCTTCAGCCGGGGCAGGCGGGCTCTCTTGAGGGTCCCTCCCTTCCTGGCGGGCGACCCCGGCTCGTGGAGAGCCTTGGCGGCACTGCAGCCGCTCGGATGCCCTGCTTGGAGGCCGAAGAAGTCGTCCCCTCTCTCGCTGGGGGGACAGCCCCGGCCTGGAGCCTTCACTTCAATACCCGAGGGAGACGCGCACAGGGGAGGCGACTGTGTGCCCTCCACTCTGGGGGAAGGGGGGGCACCGAGATACCGCCTGGTGGTTTTGGTGCCCGACGAGCACCAAGCCGTTGTGATGATGATCACCTCCTTCCCCTTGGCTCTGCAGGCATCCAGGAGGTGTCTCAGGGCGTCTCTGTCATCGGCGTGTATGGCGTACACCAGAGCCGAGGCCCCCGTGCGGTCCTCGAGGCTGGGGTCCGCCCCGTTCTCCAGGAGCAGCGACACCACGTCCCCCCCCGCCCTCCGGATGCAGGCGTGGATGAGGGCCGTCTTGCCGGACTTGTCCTGGATGTTGGGGTCCGCCCTGTTGTCCAGCAGGTACTTGACCATCTGGGACTTGCTGATGCTCTGCTGGTCCACGTGCTTGGTGATGCAGGCCACCATGAGAGCCGTCTCCCCTTTGTCATTGCTCTCGTTGATGTAAGCGCCGCCTTCCAGGAGGAGTCTGGTCAGCCTGAGCCTCCCCAGCCACACGGCCTTTAGGAGGGAGTTTCCATCGGTTCTCAGTTCAGTGTCATCCTCCATCGCGGCGGCCTCCGCGCCTCCGAGGCGGCCACACCTAGCAAGGGAAGGAGAGAGAAGCGTGGCGCGTGCCCTGCGGGGACCTGAGCGCTCAGTGCGGAGGCTGTGACGGGGCTGGACGCAGTCCTGGGCCGCCCGACCCCGGGGGTACCCAGCCCGTCTCTGTCCCTTCCTTCATCGGTAACGTGGGGGGAGGGACAGTGGCGGCTGCCTGGTAAAGCCGTGGTGGGGGCTACGTGAGCGCACAGCAAACGTTCAGAGGAGGGCGGCTGACGTAAAGCCTGGTGTAGAGCAAGCAGTCAAGTGCACAAGGGCCGCCTGCCCCATACTCACCTCACCCGTCACTTAAGAAACGATGCTTCATGCCCACGGGAACCACGAGCACGTGGGCCCAAGGCAAGGTGTGTGTCCCTTGGGTCACTGCTGCAGCCCCAGCATCAGGCAGCGGTCCACGCCCCATGGGTCACCGTGCAGACAGCCGTTCGAGGCCTGATCTTCCGGGCGGGCACCTGAGAGGACGGGAGGAGACCCACCTTCCGGAACGTTAGTAGAAAGGCAGGCGGCTGCCGCCTTCTTTGTGCTGAAATTCCCAAAAGAAACATGTGTTACTCTCGTGATAGGGGAGAAGGCGGGAAAAAATCGTCATCAAACAAGACCAACCTCACCACCCCTGCCCGGCCGCAGCCCTGCTTTCCGGGCAGATGTCAGGCCCTCCCTCCTTCTCCGAGTCCCCCAGAGCGCTGCACACACGGCCCTCCGGCGGGCGGGCGGGAGGCGGAGGCCGGGCAGGCACTGGGGAGCCAAGCTCGCGCCGCAGCTTCCCCGCGGGGGTCTGTCTAAGGCCGCCCACGGGCTCTGCTGGGACCTCCCCGTGGCCGTCACCGAGCTCCCGCACCCGGGGCCTCCAGACGGGTGTCGCTGAAGAGCCCCTCCCTGAGTGGGTGGAGGTGGGGCCCCTCCCTGGCCCAGACGCCTGCCCCACGCGCCCCCACGCGGACTTCGGTCCCGCCACGCCCCTGCTGAGGGGAGGGCAGGGGCTTTGTAACCTCCACTGGATCGGAAGTCAGAAGCCTCTCCTGGGGGACGTGAGAGGTGGATACAGACCCTTTACAAATGTTTAATTCACTCACAGGTATCTGCTGTTGTTTAGAAGGCCCAAACCGCACCCCAGTGTCTCCCTAACACAGGCCCCCTGACGTCACTCTTCGGCAGTGACGGCGGCTGGCGGCTGGCGTGTCTCTGCCTCTAACAGTGCGCTGCTTAACGGCTGCGTCTCAGTGGGACACTCGTCACTGTTGTTCGTGTCCCCACAAGATTTTCGCAGAAACGTGGCCGCCCAGCGACTGCATGCAGTTAACTGTATTTGCAAGTCTGTCTGGGCAGGACTTCCCAGCGGCACCCGGGCTCCCGTGCCCCGCACACACCGTCCATCTGTCTGTCTACCCGGGGCTCCCGCACCCCCCGCATGCACCGTCTGTCTGTCTGTCTGTCAAACGCCATCCCCCGAGCACACTTTCTAACTGTGAGGCCTTCCTGCTCTTCTTTAACTATCCATCATCCTGCAAACCTCGGCTCCAAAGCTACTTCCTTTCTAATCAACAGGAAAATCACTCAAGATGGAAGAGGGGGGAGTGGAGTTACAACCGGCTCGGGTAACCCCCCAAAACTCCGTCCTCCCGCGGGGATGGACGAAGGGACCGTAAGCACAGAAAGAGGTACTCAGCCTCATTAGGAATCAAGTAAGATCAAATTGAAGCCCAGTGAGATACCAGCAGGCACGGAGTCCGACAGCACGGCTACAATCAGGCCGCCTGGCAGTGCCGGTGAGCGTGGGGAGCAACAGGCGCCGGTGGGGGAGGAGGAGCCCGGCGCTCCCGCGGGGACATCCCTCCGGGTCCATCTGCAGCGGAGCGAAGGGCACGGCCACCCAGCCTCCAGTCCCGGCGTGCGCACGCGTGCCGCGAGCTGACGCCCTCCCCCTTCCTCCCCCCCCCATCAAGCTGGGGGTCAGCGTGTGACCAACGTGCGGCAGGGTGACCGTGACTTCCAAGGCAGGGCCTCCGGGGACACGATCAGTGGCCACGTCCTCCCCTGAGCTCAGGTCCCTAACCCCCTGCGGAGGAGAGGGCAGGACGGAGCCCAGGCACCCTCCCTGCCCCCGGCCGTCTGCAGGTGGGACGTCTCCGTGCGTGGGACCTGTTTCCCGTATAGTCTCCAACCAGCCCTCACCGTGAGCCCCCCCATCGGAAATTCCTTACCTGACAAGCACGCGAGGAAACAAACATTTGTGTGAGGACAGGGCCGGCCCCTTGGCCCCCGTGCAGCCCGCCGCGCCGGCTGACGAAGCCTGGGCACCCGGCGACTGCACCGCGGGCCGCCGCAGGCCTGCCCCCCTCACCTCAGAGAGAAGGAAGCAATTCTGGCCGAAAGGGGCTGACGTGTGCCCAGAATTTGGACGTGTGCCGTGCACTTGGACTGCTCCGGGCACCGTGTTTTAACATGAGCAGCCCCAAAGCGGGGTTCTTCTCCCCGTGTTTCGGAAGAAGCGTCAACTGAGAAGTGAGCAGAATTTGCCGGGTTCCTCTCCTGTTGCCCCTCACCCAGGTCACCCCCCCTTCTCCCGGTCCCTCTTCACGGCAGCTTTCTGTCCCCGCAACCCCACCCCAATGGGGCGAACACAGCTTCCAAAGGCACAGGGACCGGAAGAGACACACCGCAGACTAAAACATCACCAGCGCCAGAAGAAGATAGAGCGACGCCTTCTCTGGCAGGGAGGGGGCAGTGGTCACCGCCTCTGCCCAGAAGCCCTGGGGCTCTGTCACTGTCCACCGAGTTACGAAAGTCTAAGATTTCCGAGGCTGCGAGGAGCCATCTTGTCCAATCGTTCCCAGTTTAGAAACAGGGAAATTCAGGGCAGAGTGAACCTTGTACATTGCAGAACCGGGCCCTGTGTGCTGCCCGGCACCTTTCCCCTGAGCAGCAGGGACCAAGCTGCACCGTGACAGGCGGGGGGCCACGTGCAGCCCACAGCTACAGGCACATCTTGCTTGACCGACACAGCGTTTTAATTTCTTTATTTGAATACTTCAAGATGGATCCTTCGTTGTTCAGTCTGGCAAAGGCGCTGCCGCTCTCTGCAGTCTTCCAGCTGACCCCGTGCATACAGTTGGCTGCTCACCTCGTCTGTAGCCGTGTGTGTGCGTCCTGACACCTGGTGTAAAGGGAAAATGCTTGGAACACAGGTCACGATGCTGCGTCTGTCGTCCCCGTCACTTCTCAGCTTCTTACCGCTACCGGTTTGTGAGGAGGCTCTGATGAGCTAATAGACGGAGGAGCCATTTTCATAAGCTTCAAAGTATGGTGTGCTTTTGAGAGCCATTATAAAAAAGTAACTCACAGGGCGCCTGGGGAGCTCAGTCAGTTAAACATCCGACTTCGGCTCAGGTCATGATCTCACGGTTCGTGGGTTCGAGCCCCGCGTGAAGCTCTGTGCTGACAGCTCGGAGCCTGGAGCTGCTTCGGATTCTGTGCTCCCTCACTCGTGCTCTGTCTCTCTCTGCCTCTCAAAAATTAATAAGTGTTAAAAAAAAACTTTTAAAGTTTATATTTTTTTTAAAAAAGGTAATTCACAATTACTTCAGTGCAGATAAACGACCATTTGCTTCGTCTCTTCTTCCTTGAGTCAGCTAGGCATCGGACTTCCAGCTAACCTTGCCCAGTTTGGCACCGTGGTCAATCAGAGGGTTGAGGCGCTGCGTTCGGTTCCAAGACTACTTGTATTTGAGCCCCGTGGGAAAAGGAGGCAAAAGAGGAAGCCAACCGGCTCCTGCAAACGTCCGCAAAGTGCCTCCTACTCCCGAGGAAAGAGCTGGGGACACACGTCGCTGTGCATAGTGACCCAGGGGTCCTGGGGCTTTATAATACTCATGCCATGTGTTCATCCCGTTTCTATGGCCTTAATCTTGTTTCTCCCCCACTTTCTCAGCTTCTTTATTTTTTTTTTCTAGCTGAAAGATGTGCTGTGTACAGGGCAGCTCCAGTAAGATAAGCATCCAGCCGTGCAAGTGTTTGCACCCGTAAGTCTGCACACAGTTGCATCTCAATGGATCCCAGCTACTCCCGATCTGTGTCAACCTGACATCTTGTGTGTCTTTATAAAATATCACTTTAAGTTCTTTGTGGAACAAAATAAAAGATAATCGTTGAGCACGTTTTCAGTGGATCTGTATGAATTTGCTGCTTCTATAGGTCAAAACACAGTTCACAAAACCGCTTCACCTGGCTGCAGCTTCTGTCTCTGGGGCCTCTCCACATGCACTTTAGTCCCAGAACTGCTCCATCACCCAAGCTTCCAAGGATGCACAGTCGGGGTGCGACGACTGCAGAGCAGCGGGTTCTAAGCTCAGCCCTGAGACGAGGTGGCCGTGTAGTGCACTGCTGGCAAGTGGCACTTTGCCAAACGCACAGAGTTCCAGCTCTGCCTACAGGATGGTTATAAGGACCAAATGTGGGCAATACGTGAACACGCTCTACAAAGTCCTGTAAACACCTGAAGGATTATTACGCTGAACTAAACTCATCCAGGATCCTGGCTCTGAGCCCAGATCCGGGGTGCCCAGCCCCCGCCCCAGGGCCTCTGCCATTCACCACCCACCCTCTTCCTCTTCCAAGCACCCGCTCCCCTTCCTGGCCTCCGCCTCCCAACTGCAATGGGCCCTTTGCGAGTTTTCCCAGGGACTCGATCCCTTTGACCACCGTCCCGCACACGTTTGCAAGGGAGGCATCACGATCTTAATCGTACAGACACGGCCGGACGTTCAGACGGGTGGTGCGCTCGCGCCCAGGCGCCCGAGCTTCCAAGCTGCAGCTTGGATTCGGACTCTGTGCCTCTGAACCCAAGGTCGGAGCTTCCACGGAGGGAATTCTGCCCGCCCCGCACGCCTCCCGCTACCGCCGCCTGGCGGCCGGTTTACAGCGGCAGCCGCGCCGCCAGGGGTTGCATA